CCTGACTCTCCTGCCGTCCATGCCAGCGGGATGCCCGCCAGTCCAATCTTCTGTTGCCCGGCGAAGGGGCACAAAGTTGCTCATTGCCTTGATCTCAGCCTCGCGCTGGTGATCATTTCTGCGTCGTTTCTTGCTTGACTTCTTGCGGGGAAGGTCATCGCCGTCGCGCTTGTTGTGCAGAGTGGGCACTCGCCGGAGATCGTCATCTCTCATCATGCCCATCTCTTTCTCGGCGCCCCTGTCTTCTCTGGTTCTTCGCCATCCGACGGGCGTGTCTCCCGTGGTTGTGTTTGGTGCCGGGCCATGCGGTTGTCTCTGTGCTCTCACGCTCCTTCTTCGATGGGGGCCGATCGAGTCACGACGTCCGGGAGAGAAACTATATGTCCGCTGCCGGCGCTGTAATTTGTTGGGCTCTGGTCGTTGTTTCCTGTTGCTCTGCTCAGGTTCTGGGACAGGCATCGGAACCGTGAGGTCTTGCAAAGTTTGGCTTCGAGGAGGGAGGGATGATTCGACCGCGCGGCCCCTGGCATCCTCAAAGTCTGTCGTACTAGCCCGCACCCGCTTCCTGCGGCTCTTTCGCCGGAACGGCCACATAGCCATGGTGCCCAATGCTTCGCTGGGGGCACAGGGTGTTGTATCTGTTGAGGTAAAGATTATAAGGGACAGCAGGCGGCCCTGTAGGCAGTTCGGCTGGTATTGTTTGTTCTGGGAGAGGTGCGACGTGGATTCATCATGAATGTGCTAAACAGAGGGATACGGCGGAAGTAAGCTAGCGGTGTGTTGACGGGGCCGCAGTCTGATTGTGCGCGGTGGGAGATCTTGTCAAGTCGGCGCGTCTCGCTCTAAGGCACGCTTCGTGTGTATGTTCCAGTGAGGATAAATTCCTGAGCTGCCCGGCCTGGTTTCGAGGTGCGAGGAGGGGCGGAGTAAGTCGTTTGGCGTGGGAAAAAGGCGGCGATTTCGACCCAAAGGGATGTGTGCCACGGTCCTCAGACACGCTGATTCGCAGACGCTGTGCGACAAAAAAGGCAGATTCGCTTGCTGCTTGGAATGGCGGCAGAAATCAGGCTGGGACAGGAGGTGAATCGAGGGGAAGACGTTGCGCAAGGGAATGCGACCAGAATGATCGACGGTCGCTTCCCTGTCGAGCCTGTGCTGCTTCGGCAAAGGCGGGGTGAATGTCTGAGGGAGGTGAAGGGCGCAGCGGCGGTGGGTCTGGGGGGGATGCACTATTTGACAGTCTCGGCGCTGATGCCGAAGGTCGCATCGGCCCCAGGAGCCAAAAAATAAGGATTGCACCAACGTAGGAGTAAGCAAGGTACGGTTCGCGGCCAAGGGCTCCCAGGGATCCAGATGTGTGCGCTACGTTCGGAGCGCTGGGACGCAGTGGGGAACGAGGGAATGGCCGCAGGTACTGCGCGGTTGAGGCGTCGATGAAGGCGGGGAGACGGAGCTGCTGCAAGGAGTGAGAAAGAAACGGAACGGCGAGCTCAGGGTCGCAACGGAGCTCTGATCCCGGCTTCTCTGGGTGGACCCGCTTTCCGCATCCCGTCCTGCCGTCATCAGGTTCCTTTGGACTTCTCCATTCTGACAGGAGGGTCCTCCGCCGCCTCCGTCACGACTTCGATGATCATTCGCCTCCCAGACCAACATTTGCGTGTTTCTTTACCACTTTCTCTGACGAGCTACTACCGATCTAGTTTCCGGTACCAAATTTCCATACTGGGTCAGTAGCCGGGGGTGGTAACAGCTGCCCCGCAGTTCGTGGTTCAAATTGCATCCCAGGGGATCTGGGCCTTATCCCGCAACCTGGTAGGCTCTGATGGTGGAATTGCGAGGTGAGCGTGTCACCGGCTGGTGAGCTTTGACAGGACGAAAAGGAAATCATACAATATACGAAGAGCACGCTATAGGTTGGCGTCGATGAACGCTCCGCTGAGATGACGAACGGAAATGGCGATGGTTCACACGGCTTCTTGCAGAGGGACTCCCTGTTTGCTTCTAGAAAGCTCGCAGTAAGAAAGTAACACCACCCACTCAGGCTGCCAGAGGCGCATTGCGAGCGACGACGCACAAGGATCAAGGGCAAACCGTGTCAATTCGACGATAGACTATCGATTGATGCATCTCGTCGTTTATCGTTCTGCGTGCCGACCTGAGGTGTTCGGATCGAGACTCTGGCGTTTGCGATTTCAAAACGGTGGGGCACATACTCCGTTGGTGCACTCGACCGAAAAAAAAAAAGAACACACGGCTGTTTCATCAAAGCCCCGAGACAGCAACTCGGCGCTGACGACACGAAGCGCCTTTTCCACACTTAGACCCTCGAAAGCACGAACCTGCCAGGACCAGCGGCCGCGGCTGAGATGCGCTTTAGCCACCAACGCACCGTGGGATGCAATGTTTCTGCACAACGCACTTTTCGCTCGTATCGCCAGTGGAGTACCTGTACTATTCTCGCCATCCGTCAACGAGAATAGCTTCTCTCCGTCAAGCTTATCGTCTCCATTTCCGATTCCCAGCAATGCCATGACTCACAGCACAAGAAACCACTTCAAGGAAGGCCGTCCAGATACCCCTCACTCCCGTTAACACCCTGGTCTGCCTACCTGGCCAATTATGTCATAGGGTAGCGACCTCTGGGAACCCCTCCGACCAGGGTCGCAGCGAGTGGAGAGTCTTGACGACACGGATCTCGCCCGCACGTTGGCGTCACTCACTGATGGCGCCCCCTGCCCTGCCACTCCAGCTTGTTCAGTTCGCCGCGTACTGGCGGCGAAGAGTCGTCGCGTCCAGTCATGGCCAGCGAGAGCATCAAGAGGCTGCAGTTCGGCTGCAGCTTGTACCGCAGGCGACCGTTTTGAATCGTCTCTCCGATAAAAGCGCAGGAAAAAGCAACGACAGCTCACAATCCCAGGGCCACTGAGGGGTTACGGGACAGGGGGAGGTTCGGGTCTCCCTTTGCAATGCCTGTCAGCCCGACACGTGTAATCGATCTCGCGCTTGCGACTTGCTGCCGCCATGTGCGCAAGTGAAACGGTCGACGGCGTGCTTTTTGCGCTCCAAGATGAGCCCCAGTTCTCCACCAAGACTGAGAAACTCAATCGAGCTCCGGTGTTTTATGGGCGTCCAACGCCAGTCGCACAATAGTGCGTTGCACGAATATTCTACTTCCCCGAGTAACTGAACACAATCCGGGAATATTCATCGAAGCCAAGCTGGATTCGCCGAGATGCGGAGAGTTGCGAACTGAAAAGTTGAGCCCACGATTGGGCAAATCCCGTCCGTGGTGCTGCTGAATCTTGTCTCTCCAAACGGACGTCTCGACGCCGGGAGCACTGGCAGCCATAGGTTCACTCATCGATCGGGGCTTTTTCTCCTCAGATTAGAACCTCGAGTGCGGGGGCCAATGGCGGCACAGAAGCCAGCCTTTCGTGCTGTCGGTCCCACCCTTGCTGCCGTTAGACTTACACTCCACAGAAGACCACCAAGACGCCACGATTCGGGAGATGCGCTGTTACTTGACAAAGAACGATGGATGATGGATCTCATCTCTGGTGAGCTGAGATGGAATTGCGGGCGCCATCACGTTTCATACGCTCCCCCCTCCGTTGACGAATCGCCCTGTGATTCGCTACCACGCAGTCAGCACATCCCATCAAACTCCCGCCCTTAGCATGAGAGCTATGCCTGGCGCTGGACAATCCACCAAGGCAATTTCAGCCGTCCCGTTCCCAGCGTTGGTTGAAATCGGGTGTCTCGGGCAGTATCTTGTTCGCTTGCTGGCCATGTCGTGCCAGGCGCGCTGTCGCCTGAGATGGACGGTGGTCCGTGGAAACGATCAATCGCGGAAGGGGTCGAGAGGGCGCAGACTCCCGAAGTGCCCGAACCACGGCGGCTACATCGCATGCTCACATCAAGAGCGCGCTGTGTGACCTCTCGCGGTCGACCCGGCGGGGTCCCAGGGGTTCAGTCATGCCTCGTGCCCAGCAAGACTTTCCCAGAAATATGCAGGAACGGCAGCCTTGCGCAAAAACCATTGACTACTCCCACATTCAGGGTCCTGGGGGAAGGGTTTGCATGCTGTCAGCGCCGGATAGCAATTAAGATGCGACGTCAGGGTCAAGGAAACATCCTGTTTTGTTGTTCCTGATACCAAAACCCGGCATGTGGGTCGCTGGGTGCTGCTACGGCCTTCGTGACGCCGCCATTTTGCCGCTTCCAAGCAGTCGACGCTTCGCATGATATCTCTGCCACCTCCACCGATTTCGATGCGGCGAGACTGCTTTGGCGATGTTCGACTCCTACGACACAGTCGCAGGAGTGGCGTCGGCGCCCCAGCCAGGCAGGGAGTCATGGGCCGCTTAATTCCATGATCACTTTATTCTGACAGAGCAATGTTAGGATTCCGTGATCTCCACAGAGCCAATCCCTTGAAAGCACTGCTCGTATCGTACATTGGGTTTCGCCGGGTCTATCGCAATCTTGGGGCAAATAACGGCGGCCTAAACCCTCCCTTAGCTCGCAGCGCAACGTTTACCCAAGCAAGTTCCCGCACGGGAGGATCAGGGCTCGGATTTCGCTTCTACCCGCGCTCTTTGTACGTTTTTGCATGATGGAACTTATTTATGGAAATATGGAAAGAGCTTACACGCGGCCGGCTTTCTTGGACCAACCACTCGGGCCGAGTCGCTTCAACTGGCTTGATGGCTTCTAATTGTCGCACACAACGACGCAACTTAAAGTACCTCCGCAGGACCCACGCTTCAGAGAGTTGCAATGATACGACTGAAGACCGCAGTCATACAGCCATTGCATCAGCATCTCCAACAAACATCTCCACCTGCTCGTCCAAACCTTCTGCGACCGCCTCCCGGACCCTACGCACGAGTCAGAAGATAATACCGTACACGAAGGAACCCGCAACTAGTGTGGGTTCCCCTCCAAGCCCACAAGCCCACAAGCCCACTTACCTGCCCCATTATCAACGAAAACTCCTTGGGTGTTTGGTCTAGTCGTATGATTTCTGTTTTGCAATGACCCAGTGTTCTTGCATTCCTTACAGACGGCCCCGTGTTCGATCCACGGAACATCCAAAGTGCACATTCCACCTCCTCGGCGTCCGGTGCCAACTTCCTACCTATAGTGAACGCCAAACATTCACACATCTTCCGTAGTATAGCGGTCAGTATGTGAGCTTGTCATTAAATGTCATCGCTCGACGCCCGGGTTCAATTCCCGGCGGGGGAGAGACGCCGTGGTACCTACCGCACCTAGGTAGTGGGTGTGCCCCTTTTTGGCGATCCCCCCCTTTTTGAGTATTTGTTGATAGCCCGAACCCTCGGGCTGGATCGCCATTCCATTTCCAGTGAAACACCACCACGTGGCAAGCCGTACAACGGTGGAGATGCAGTGAAGATCAGATTGGCGGCGCATTGGAATGGGGATACAAGCTTGCAGGTGTCCGGAGCTGTGGAAGATGTTGTGATGGTGCCATGCAGCTCTTGGGACGCAGCCAAATGACGGGCCTGGTGGCGGGATCGGCAGCGCGGTGAGCAACACCCAGGTGTATGGGATGAGAGTTGCAGAGATTGGGAAATGATGCTTTCGTATGCCAGACGGCCTTTTGTGGTCGCTGGTCAAGTCTAAATGTCTAGGGAAAAAAAGTGAGTATACATTTATTTTATCTTGGTACTTGGACTCATGCGGTCTTATCAGACAGCGCCTGCACCATCTCGCCCTTCATCCTTGTAATAGTGCCCGAGCCGCCGTAAACGAGCCCCGTGTACACCATGGCCACGCTTGCGCCGGCATTGAGGACTTTCAGCGCCTGCTCGCCAGTTGTGATCCCTCCCGTGGCAAACACAACCTTTTGCGGGGCCTCTTGGACTTCGCCATCCGCAGACCGGAGGCTGTAGCTGTCTAACATCTTGCGATACCTCCCCACCATCTTGAGCGTCTGGACAAACAAGGCCGGGCCTGAGAATCCACCTTCCTCCTTCAAAGCCTTCAGCTCCCTGGCGTTTAACCTCACCCCTTCTGGGACCAGGCCTGCCCGCCTCTTCGTCGTGTTGCCGACGATAATGCCGTCAACGCCGCTCATCCACACGGCCTGTACGACACCCTCCATCTGGGAGTCGTCATCCTCATCTGGCGAAACTTTCACCATGACCTTCGGCTTCCGACTCCTGCTCGTTTTCTTGGCCTCCTCCACAACAGCAGTCAAGATCCTCGTCAATGGCTCTGTCGCCTGCAAGTCCCGGAGCCCGGGAGTGTTAGGGCTGCTCACGTTTACCACCAGCACATCCGCGTACGGTGCAAGGCGGTCCACGCAGCGCACGTAGTCCCTCTGCACTGCTTCTACATCCCGCTCGTTGGTTGCCTTATTCTTCGCCATCTGCACAAGCAGCAGTTTCCCTGGCTGCAAGCTCCCTGGTGGAACCACGCTGGCAGCCTCTGTGCCCTCCATGATGTCCCGCTCCGTGATCCCCAGCCTGCGCGCAAACCTCCTCAGCCGGTCCCGTAGACGAGCAGCCATGGCATCGGCGCCTCGCGAGTTGAGTCCGTAACGGTTGATCAAGCCATCGACGCCGGGAACGCGGAACACACGCGGTTTCGGGTTTCCTTCTTGTGGGAGAGGTGTGCAGCCACCAACCTCAACAACGGAAGGGCCAAGGGCGAACAGCACATCAGGAATCTCGGCGTCCTTGTCGAGGCCGGCGGAGATACCGAGAGGGTTGGCGAGACGGGTGCCAAAGACGGTGACGGCAAGGGGGCTAGTCGCGGGGTCTGCCGAACCAGCCGGGGTGGAGGGTCGCTCGCGCGGGTGGAGGCCGAGAGCGTAGAGGTTCTTGAGGGCTGCGGTGCCGGCATGGTGGGCGTCCTCGGCGTCAGGGAAGAGGACTCGGATCAGACGTGGGACGGCCCATTGGTGGAAGGATGCGCGAGTATCGGTAGCGTAGTAGTATGCAATGAAGGCGGAAACACCCAGAGAGGCGCTGATGGCGAACGTCTTGAAGCCACCGCCGGCGGGGGTGGTTGAGGTGGAAGCGAAGCGTCGAGGGATGGAATTGGAGCTGCCGAGTTTTGCCGGGATCGCAAGAGGGCGAAAACCTGTCCCAAGAGCCTTTCGAGCTCTAAGATATGGAGCAGCCATATTTGGCAACGGTGCTGGGCCGGACCAGCACTCAATGGCCCAAGATTGGCGAACGAAGGCGGGGTGATGGTGGTGATGTCTGTGTTGGAAACTTGGAAATTTGGCGGCTTGTGCAGTTGCATGGGTGTTGACGGGCGAGTACCAGCCAAGCACGGACTAGCCTAAGACCCAGATTGTTTCACGCACGTTGGCTTACTCTCAGCCATCCAACCCTGGCGGCGGTTTGGACCCATCGATTCAGAGGAGCTCTCAGGACAGGGGAAACGGCTGTATCCGTATCTCTTTCGCATTGAACTGTGACGTCTAATTCTAGTTGAAAATAGATATCTTGTCTGTAAAAGTTCCATCCAAGCTTCCCTGATGGAAGTTCCCCTAGTCTGACCTGTTCTTTCATCCGAACCGAACCGGGAGCGGGAGACTTCTGCACTAACAGTTTCCCCATTCCCAGAGTTGGTCTGTGCCCAGGCACCTGCGTTTTGGCGTGTTCCCGCAGCAACCACCCCACCATCAGTTTGTCATCGTCAACATCTGTCGCAAACACGAAAACTGCATCGCCACCAAGGTCCAACACCGAAATCGACACCAACACGGCAAACCGCGATCTAGTTCGGCTGGACCAATTTACGGTGCACGCATAAACTGGTCAAGATGGCCTACAACCCGAGGATGTCCATCCTGCCGCCGACACAGTCGCAGTCCCGGACCCGAAAAAAGGAGGAAGAAGCCGCCTACGCGAACATGCGCCTCCCCGATCGCGAAATCGTCGGCTGTATCAACGAGCTCGGAATTCCATTTGCGATTACCGACCTTCAAAAGCCCAACCCTGTTCAGGTGCAGCAGATTTTCGAGTGGTTCGGCGAGCTCCTGATGGACAAGACGCGCGCAACAGTCGACCCCGCCATGCGCGCCGCTGCTGAGGATGTATGCGGGCCGGATCTTGGCGATGCCCTCATGCCGGCTGATACGCGCAACTTGATGGGATTCTTCGCCTCGCTGCGCAGGCTGATGCTCGACTGCGGCGTGACCGACTTCAACTTCATGGACCTCTACAAGCCTACACACGACCGACTGGTCAAGATCTTCTCATACATCATCAACTTCGTGCGTTTCCGCGAGAGCCAGATGAGTGTCATCGGCGAGCACTGTAACAGAGCCGACAACACAAAGCAGCGCATAGAACAACTCTACATTGAGAACCAGAACATGGAGGCGCAGCTTGACGAGATGCACAACAACCGGCGGGAGATGGAGGTGCGCGTGGCCGAGAAGACGAAACGGAACGAAGAGTTGAAAAAACGCCTATTGGAGCTGAGGCGTAACCAGGAAAGGGTGGCTGCGCGACTGGAGGAGGCCAAGACCCGAAAGGGAGAGCTGGCAGCAGAGCTCGAGGAGAAGACGGCGACCAAGCTCGTTCTGAAACAAGAAAGCGCCAAGCTGCGGCCCTACGTGCTACAAAGCCCATCGGCTCTGCAGGCAAGCCTAACGGAGTTGAGCAACACACTGAACGGGGACAAGGCGCACATCGACTCACTAGACCGGAGGGCACGAGCACTGCAGACGTCGAGTGACTCCTTCGCTGTAGTGTCGACCGACGTTGCCTCGTGTATCAAGCTGCTGGACGAAATCTCGACCGAGCTTGCCAAGGAGGAGGAAGAGAACGCTAAGAATGCGAGACAACGTGACGCGCTTACGGAGCGCGGCGCCAACGTTCGCGAGGTGGAACGAACCGAGGCGCTGTTGCAGCGACAGCTGGCCAAGTGGACGGAGCGGACCGAGGCCCTGCGCGCGCAAAATCAAGAGAAGGCGCAGAAAGCCAAGGAGTCGATGGAGGAGTTGCGAGCTATCCACAATAAGTTGACGGAGGAGCGGTCCGAAAAGGGTAAGGATATCGAGAAGAGGAGAGTCCGTATCGAGCAGACGGAGAAGAAGGCATGCTGTTCCCACCCGCTTACCGGAACCATTCGCTAACACACTTGCCAGATGCTTGACTTGAAGGAGAACATTGAAAATGAGGTACACGCTGCGTATGATGAGTACCTCAAGATGGAGTCTCACATCAAGCTGTACATTACAGAGATGGAGCAAGCCATTTAGGCAGACCCTGTCAATTTGTACTTAACGTGGTAATGATGGGTTGGCTAGGGTTATGAAGACGGACACGATACCATAGGATGGCGTTTGGTAATTTGTGGGGAAAACGCTTGGCTTATGCATATAAACTGTGGGAGAGCTGTGGGATGAATGTTATGAAGTTGGTTTTTCTGAGCTTTGTGAATCCCAGTCTCCGTGTCGGAACCGGAACCAGCGCCTGAGGACACTACGTACGTCAACAGTCCTGCCAGTCCATCCACTCCCTTCGAGATCAGGCCCAGGCCTCCTTGCGCTGCCACTCAGAATCGGCATTCGCTCTGCCAACAAATTCTCCATGCACACCTCCTCATAAGTCTGCGGCTCGACCGCAACCGCTTGAAATCCAACCCGTCTCGTTGTCTCCACAATGGCGGCCGCCGTGTTGCTGATCCCCTGCACACTCCACTCGCTCGTGCTGCGGTGCAAGTCCAAGAGTCCGTAGACCAGAAGCAAGGGCTCCTTCGGCGCTGTACCGATGCCGTGTGTTGGGGACGGCGGGGCCGTGACCTTGGCGTCTGCCACGGAGAAGACCGACAGATAGGCGCGCAGGTGTGACACGGTGGGAATGAAGACCACGCGGATGTGCCGTGCTACTGCCACCTGGTAGAGAGGCGCCGCCAAAAGTTGTGCCGCCCTGGCATCTGCGGTGCTGAAAGGTCGCGGTAGTTGCCCCTCCTTCTTGACGCTAGCTTCTTGTCCGCCCTCATCAGCCGCCTCTTCGTATTCGGCGCCACGTGCTGGGTGATGTGGATGCTTTTGGTGTTTGACTTGGCGGGAGACTGCGGAGAGGAACTCAACGCGGCTGGAGCAGACCACAAGCGTGCTGGGGAAGGCGCAGTGGTGAACAATATGCCAGAGTAGCTCTGTGGGGAGAGCAGGCGACAGGAAGACGGGATGAGGATGAGCGCTCATGGTCGATCCCCGCTATCGTTTGGGTCACACTGAAGGCATACCAACTGTTTCC